CAGAGTATATTAATATTACAATGTATTAATTTTCTCACAACTCATATTTTAAAAATGACATTGGCAGAGAATGGCAAGCATCTGTAATGGGTATACAGGGGTCAATTCTACTATTCCATTGTCAGTATGTTTTAAAATTATTAAGTAGACTAGTATTTAATATTATTTTAAATTATTTTAAAATTTATAAATTAGGTAGGTAGATTGTATCTACATTCTCAGGTCATCACAGATTTCCCAGTGACAAAAGTGCTGAACAGGTTAAAAGATAAAGTGAAGAAGCCTATGCTGACCAACCACAAAAAACAATTTGGACACCAGATTTAGGTAACTTTGACCAATCTATCATTTAACCTGATGTCTTCTCTTTCCCCAAAACAGGGATAGTTTTTCCCCCTAAAGGATGAGTCTTGCAATGTAGTTCAGGCTGGTCCTCAAATTCTAGTATGTAGACTAGGAATTTCTTTGATCTTCTTGCTTCAGCCTTCTAATTACTAAGATCATGGGCTCATGAGGGGGTCTTTAAACTCGAAAAAAAAAAATCAAGCTAAAACTTACGCTAAGGAGAGAAAAATTATCATCTATTCATAGATTTTAAATTTAATAATATACATATATTTATTATTTTGGCAAAACATTCATTCATTCTTCTACCAGTCCAAGTATTTTCTGAATAGCAACTATTCTGTGTCATGTACAATGCCAGGTACTAGGGATACAAAGATGAACAAAACAGATAAAATCTGCCCCAAGGAGGTTGTAATTCAGGAGGAAATATAAACATGGAATTATCTCGTTCAACCTAAATTAATTGGGAGAAAGGAAACGAACAGTGAGCAAAGACAATATGAAAGAGGTAAAATGACCGCAAAACAACAATATAACCCAAATCTCTAGTCTATATAGGGAAAACAATCATTTATTCTAGCACAGTATCTTAGGAAAGTCTGTCTCTGTACCTTATACAACTCCCTACCTAGGCATACAAAAAAGAATTCTATGTTATCTGTACATACATAATTTATTCTGGCCAAAAAAAAGTCTTAATTTTCAAAACACTAAGTAAATGCCATCTTTGTACAGGTGACTTTAAACACCTATGACAATCTCAACTATTTATAGTTCCATATAGTACTGTATTATTAAAGGTCCTGCAGTCCCAGGTTACCATCAATCTAGTGGAAAACCAAAGTACAAAAAGCCTAATCCTAGATTCATTTAATGTTACAAGGAGATTCACTAGCCACAAGTAATTCATCTCTCTTAAATTTTCAGATTTCAAGAAGATAAGGAAAAGGATAAAATAAAGATGGGCCTGGGGAGGGAACACTATCTCACAGAGGGAAAAATTCAGGATCATTCTTATCTAGCCCCATTAAAAGACATTCTCACTCATGATAAAACTTTAAGCATATATATCAAGCCATCAGAACTTTAACCTTTCTGCCATCACTTACTACAATTTCTCAGGCAAGGTTATCTAAAACAAGATTCACAAACAGGTCCTTCTAAATGATGAGGCTATAAGTAATGACGAAAAGGATATCCTGTAATAGGAAAGCACCAAGACACTGTATTTATCAAATGCTCCTATTTATTGCACTGTATGAGAAAAGGATGTTCAAAGCACAGAAACATGGGTGATAACAATACTAAAAAAATTACTTCAAGCAAAGTAGGAAGGAAGTCACTGAACTCTGAAGAATCCTCATTGGCATGAAAATATACTCTGTCCTACTACATGTCCAAAGTTTAATATCCTCCTCTCGCCACCCCTCTGGTAGGTCATTACCAAATTTCACAGAACAAAAGAACACAAGAGAAGAAGAAAGGCTGTGGTCTACTCTAGGTCATACAGCTAGTCCTATGACAGAAACACAATAGAACTGAAACTTGGGATGTCCTTCCAACCACATAACCTAACCAAGCACAGGTCATTTTACTGGGTGTAGGAGAAAAGGGGATGGAGTGGGGTGCCGTCACTGGTAAGGGAACTAACAAAATATCTAGAGCTATTTTCTCGTAAAAGGAGAATGAAAAAGATGAGTTTCCTCAGAATTACAGAAATGGGAATCTGTAATAGCTCTAGTTCGTTTGCCAGTGTTTCTGCTCCAATCACATCTTGCCCTTCAAAATGCTCATGCGGCTTTCAGGACTACAAAGAGAAAATCTCTGTCACAAGTCTTTGACTCAGCCAGATCTTTTCCCAACCATTCCATCCTGTCTTTTTTTCTTTGTTCTAGTCCATATAATTCCTTTTCCTTGCATCAAGCAGAAAATACAAACTAAAAAAAAATAAATAAAATGTTCAATATGAACCAAGCTTGGCCAAAAGTTAGGAAGGAAACTAAGGATGGCTCTTTAGTGTCTATATTTTTCTCACTGACTTTCTCCCCATACCATTTTAATGCTTCTAAATGAACCTAAAAAACTGGTTTTTCAACTTCCAATGTAGGTTAAACATGAACTAATTAAATGTTTGTTAAACACTTTGAAGATGTGAACAAGTGTGTAAATGTTGATCATTTATGTCCATCCATGAAGCTCCTGCATGAGAAGGAAAATATTATTCTACTAGCAAGCCTCTGCTATGATCAGGCACAAACATGGAAGCCTATCAAGTTTTAAAAACTCTAGGAAAACTTTAAGGATAGACCACAATGGTTTTCTCCTTACAATAAGAACAAGCTGGAATTTAAATTGGCTACGTCAGACGTAATTATACGGGGGGGGG